ATGATAGCTTTGCTGATAATATTGGTTGTAGGTTCTTGGCATCCATCACTTTGAATATTTCTTGCCACTCCCTTCTGGCCTGCAAAGTTTCTGTGGAGAAATCAGCTGACAGTCGTATGGGTACTCCCTTGTAGGTAACTGACTGTCTTTCTCTTGCTGCTTTTAGGATTCTCTCTTTGTCTTTTGCTCTTGGTATTTTAATGATGATGTGTCTTGGTGTGGTCCTCTTTGGATTCCTTTTGTTTGGGGTTCTATGCGCTTCCTGGACTTGTAAGTCTATTTCTTTCACCAGGTAGGGGAAGTTTTCTGTCATTATTTCTTCAAATAGGTTTTCAATATCTTGCTCTCTCTCTTCTTCTGGCACCCCTATAATTCGGATGTTGGTACGCTTAAAGCTGTCCCAGAGGCTCCTTACACTATCTTCGTATTTTTGGATTCCTTTTTCATTTTGCTTTTCCGGTTGGGTGTTTTTTGCTTCTTCGTATTTCAAATCTTTGACTTGATTCTTGCGATCCTCTGGTCTGCTGTTGGGAGTCTGTATAATGTTCTTTTTTTTTTATTATTTAATACATTTTTATTGATTTCTGAGAGGAAGGGAGAGGGAGGGAGCGATAGAAATGTCCAGGATGACAGAGGATCACCCGTCCGCTGCTTCCTGCACACCCGCTCCTGGGGATCGAGCCCACAACCGGGCCTGCGCCCTTGACTGTAATCAGTCCCCAGGCCAATGCTCTACCCCTGTATAATGTTCTTTATTTCAGTCAGTGTATGCTTAATTTCTAGTTGGTCCTTTATCACAACATCAAGGGTCTCATTACATTTCTTGAGGATCTCACTACATTTATCGTTGGTCTTATCAGTCTTCTTGAAGATCTCACTACATTTATCGGCAGTCTCACCAGTCTTTTCGAGGGCCTTATTAAATTTGTCGGCGGCTTCTAGACAGTTCTTTAAAGACCTTAAAAGTGTGATTTTGAACTCTATATCCAACAGATTCCTTTCCTCCAATTCTGTCGTTTGTGTCCTGTTTCTTTGTCTCGTCATTTTTTATGCTTCGCTGTGTCGATAGAGTGCCTTTCTGTACTAAGTGTCCCAATTACCTGAGGTAGACACTCTTGGTGCACCCCCTTGTGGGCTTTGTGCACAGTCTTGTTGTAGTTAAGCCTTGATTGTTGTAGTTATCACTGTGAGGAATTGACCTCCAGCTCAATTGGCTGTGAGAATCAGCTGTGTCTGCAGTGGGAGAACTTCTGTGCTGGAGACACCCCTATGGGGCTAGACTTGTTTCGATGGGGCTTTGGTGCTCACTGAGTCTGCCCCCTGCGTGTGTCTTTTATGGTTCCACGCAGCTGCAAACTGGATGGTCCCACTCTGACCTCTGGGCTTCCTGGCTCCTGGATCTCTAGGGAGGTGCTAATCTAGCCTTTGCCTGAGGCTATCCAGCAAAAGTCTCCCTGCAGGGCTTGAGCGGGGCGGGTCCCACGGGATCAACAGGGCGGGATTAGCAATTATGGCTGCTCTCAGTCTTGCCCTCAGAGGCTCTGCTTCTCAGTGTCCCAGTAATCGCTGCAAGCCCCACGGAGAAAAAGCTGCCCTAGGATTCTGAGCGATGCCAGACAGTCCCGCTTCTCCCGTATGAGTCTGGGTCCCTAGAGACTCGCCCGGAACTGGAGCTCAGAGCCTGAGACTCCCTCCCGATTGAAAACGGCAACCGTGTCCTCAGCAGCCAGCCCGCTCCGCATGCACTCCGAACCTTAGTATTTTACTTCAGCACTGCGCCTCCTCTGAGCCTCGGTATGCTTTTCTCTTTCCTCCTAGTTATAGAACTTCCACTCAGCCAGTCTTCCTGTGGTTCTGGATGATGTCCGTTCTGTCTTTTAGTTGTATTTTTGAAGTGGTTTTTTCGAGGCAGCAAACTCCGGTGTTTACCTATGCCACCATCTTGGTTTCTCCCCTATTTTTAAATTTGTTGTGGGAGGCAGCAATTTCTGGTGTTTACCTATGCCGCCATCTTGGTTTCTCTCCATTATGAGTTTTTGCAATGAGCTCATAATTTTTTTTTTTTTTTTAGGACAAATCTATTTATCGTAATGTATGTTTTAGATACAATGTGCCAAAGTCTTGGGGATTGATTACAGAAATCACAGTATACAATCCTATCTAATAAAAGAGAAACATGTTAGCGTACGACCGCTACCCTTCCCATTGGCTAATAAGGGCGATATGCAAATTAATTGCCAGCCAATATGGCGGCCAGCAGCCAGGCAGCTGTAAGCAAACATGAGGCTTGCTTGCTTCAGTAAAGGAGGACTCCAACGTTCCCCGCCTGCCTTGCCGGCCTCTGAGCTGGCAGTTTGAAACATTGTAACAAATATAGAAGCTATCCAAAACCCCAGAAACCTGCTTTCAGCCGGCCGGGATCTCAGAGCTGGAGTTGATAAAGTGTTTTGATTATAGAACCGAAACAAACCAGATACCTGCTTT